GACCTGTTTTTCTGTGTGTATGCACGAACTAACCTGGAGAAGGAGACCCACATTCAGCCAGGAGAAGAGTGGCAATGGGATGCTGCATTCTGGGGGAGAGAGATTGCTGTTCAGGTTCCCCTCCCCGATAGGCTCAGTGCCCTTTTACTCCTGCCAGAGGCCATGTCTACACTAGAGTCCTTTACTGGTATAGGTACACCGCTATGCTATGTACACCGGCAAAGCACTCCTGACGTGCAGGCAGCTATCCCAGCGTAGCTGCTCTTTGTTTGTGTAGCAACCGCCCCTGTGAACAAAACAAGATACCCTGGTGAAAGCGCGGCTTTGCCAATCTAGCTGCATCTAGGCTAAGGGCTTCTGCCAGCACTGCTTTGCCAGTCGGGGGTCACACGTCTTCACACCACTGGCCAAGAGATCTATGCTGACTAGAGTCCATTGGCCTCTAACCCATTCCCCTGTCACACCCAACATCTATCAATGATTGGCTGCCCCTTGTCCTTGCCTTCCTCCCTGACTGTGAGAGGATGGCCACAGTTGATTTGATGCACAAAGTGGCAGGTGGGTTATTTTGGAACCTCTTCTCTTCCCTCTCTGTAGCTCCTCCCCCCCATTAACCCTTTCTTTCCTTTACTTCCTACTTTAACTGGCAAACATCCCGGGGATTGCAATGGCTTATAAATCTTTCACTTTTTTAATATATAGTGTTGTCGTGTCTAGATGTCCCAGCTGAGATCAGGGCCTTGTTGTGCTTGGTGCTGTATGTACAGGATAAGCAATTTGAAAATCAAAGGCAGTTGGATGCCTAACCCTTTTAGGGGCTTTTGAAAAATCAAACCCTAACAGATGTTCCCAAGGTCGCATGTGGCATCTGCAATAGTGCACGGAGCTGAATTCTGATCTTCTAAATCCCTGGCCAGTGCCTTAATCCCGAGACTAGCCTCCCTCCTCCACATCCTGGAGTCTTGCACAATTCCGTCAATGGCACCATAATAAGCTTGGGAGCTCAGAGGGCTGCACCCCTGGAATGTCGGAGGGGGCTGTGGAAATCTCGGCTGGTTTGGCTAATTTCAGGACAGCAGGTGACCCTGTCACCGGCTCATCATGACACAGATGCTCCCACTTTCCTGTGGGTCCCCAACTCCAGTCACTCTGAAGCTCTGCTTTCCCCCAGGACTGTGGTGAATTGGCTCCCTTAGGAAGGTGAAAGGGTGTGACCGTGTTTCCCCCCCACCCCACCCCCCCGACAGCTGGCAGGAGGACTAGCGGAATGAGGTTAGAGGGTGACCATGAAGAAAAGAACATTGAAAGTTGGGGAGAAGGAACAGGGCAGAGCAAGAGGGTGGGGATGGTTTGGGAGGAGACGGGCGGCTGGTGTGTATGTGTGAGCAGCAAGTTCCCTGCCAGACCAGGGGCTAAGCAGTTAAGGTGAATGTGGGGGAGTCTGCACTGACTGGCTTCTGGGCTGGCACCGCCCGTGTCGGTCACCTGCTGTGGCCCAAAGGGGGGCTGCTCGAGGGTAGAGGGAGAGCAGATCCGCTGGCTTGGGCATAACTGGAGAGACAAACCTGATCCACGGTCCCTGTTTGTGCTAGAAGTTGAGGGGAACAGTTATGGAAACTTGTGGAGTGGAGACTCTGGGGCAGGGGGCTCTCTGCCTCTGGCATGCAGCTGGGTCTGGGGAGGGGGCAGCAGACCTGGGCTGTGAGAGCAGACCTGGGCTTGCGTTCTCTCCCCCTGTGGCAGAGTGAGTGTCTGTGTTGAGGGGCAGCTGCAGGGCTGAGTTGTGGGGTGCGCTCTGTGGTGGAGCAGAATCTAGGGGGTGGGGGCCCAGACTGGGAGGCTCTGGGGGACAGCTGCAGGGCTGAGTTGTGGGGTGCGTTCTGCTGTTCTGGTACAGAGCCCGTGTACAGCTGGGGCTGTGGGGCTCACCCCCCTCCCTATGGCACAGAGCTGGGTGTGCCAGTAGGGCTGCAGCTGTCCTTGTTCTCTGACTCCATGTGCCTGGCATTCCTCCCTTCTCCCCCGTGCTGGGGAGCGTGCACTCATCCTCCCCTCCCAGTCCCTGGGCCATGACACCGCGTGAGTCAAACCACCGCATTATTTTCCATCCGGTCCAGAGACTTTGGGTGGGGCTCATTCCCAGGCAGGCTTGTAGGGACACCCGGGCTGACTTCATCTGGCCAGCTTTCCTCTCCCTTCGGACTGTGCAGTGCCAGCCAGCCTGTGATGGGACGGAGGGGGGCGCTCCCTCGTCTGCTCTCCCCTCTCCACACCTCCAGCCCCCTGCCTCTGCTCCCTCCCTGGCCCCCCTGATCTCCTGCGGGTGGCTGCAGCTGGGTAGAAGGGGAGGATTTTGTTCTCCTCAGGGCTCAGCTGGCTGAAGGAGGGGAAAACCCCCTCAAACGACAGGGAAGTCAGTCTCTAGCTAGAGGGTCTGTCCGGGTTTCCAGGCTGGCCCAGCCCTGACCCACATGTGGAGGGGAGATAGTCCAAGTGTCTACAGTTCAGAGCACAGCTCTGAGTCTGACCTCCCCGCCTGGTGCATCTCGGGAGTTGGCAGGAACCTGGCTGGGGCACCCTTAAGGTGGAAAATGCAGGGCTCTGACCTTTTTAAGGTGGAGCTGGTGGGGAGGCGGACAGTTATGGATAAATTTCATTTAAGTCCACCCTGACATAATGTTGGTTAAAGGGGCTGGGTTGACAGCCCCAAGGAGACAACTCTTCTGTGTCGCAACAGGGTGGAGATGGCTTTGTGGTGAAGGCTCAAGGGTTAACATGCCTCCCCCCCCTTTTTTTTTTTCCCAGATGTGGAGACTGGGGCTTGAGGGCTGGGCTCAATGCCTAGTTATGCCCCAGACTTTTCTGTGCAACCTTGGGCAAGTCACATCCCCTCTCTGGGCCACAGTTCCACATCTGGAAAAGGCAGCGAGTGTGTGTGTGTGGGGGGGTTAACCCTTTCCTGCCTCACTGCCCAGCTGAGGGCACACGTGCTGCCTTGACGGGGGCCATGTGAACACCGTGATGTATAAGCAGTGGTCTTGACCATGGGCGTTTAGGGCAGCCTCAGGGATCTGACAGTTTCTCGTTAACCCTCCCCCCACCCCCTTACTGCCAAAAAATCCGCATGGCAAAGTGGGCGAGAGGAGGCGGTTTTGTTTTGATGGACCCGTGTAAGACTGATGGAAGCAGCAGCTGGATGCTGGAGGTCTGTCTCCAAGCCCATGTCTTCCCTACAGCATCAGCCCAGCAAACGTCTCCCTGCGGATGGGGCTGAATCTACAGATCTAGCCCTGGCATGAATGGACGCCCCCATTGCTCTCCCTATCTGTGCAGCTGTCTGCGCGGACTCTCCTCCCCTTGGCTTCCCTCCCATGTCACAGCCCTATTCTGGAGCCCGGGGGCAGGGCCTGCAGGTGGAAGGATTGGGGCGGGCCCCACAAACCCCTAATCTGCCTCTGCCAGCTTTCCATTGGAAAGATCTTAGTAGAGCTGGAAAAACCCTCGGACGTCCTGGAAGAACTGGGTACAGCTGATTTTGCAAGGCTGGGGAAATCCGGAGTGATGCCTTGGACTCTGTCACCTTGCCTGGGCACAGGACAAAGCACAGATCTGGTTGTCTGAGGCTTTGTGGGTGGTACCTGCTGCCCACATGCTAGGCAGAGAGTGCTCTGGCAGCCGCTGCCTTCCCTGTGAGCTGGAGAGAGATACTGAAGCAGGCAGCTCTGATTTCACACCTGTTATAAATGCCAGAGTCACAGCTAATTTGATGCAACATGTAAACAAGCCAGTGAGCACCAGCTGGCATTCATTGGCACGTGAGGGGTTTGCTAGGTGGTGGCTGTGTTGGAAAGGTGGCGAGAATCAAGAGCTCTCGCTACCTTTGGTTTGCTGATCAGAGCTAGTGTCCCTTGTTTCCTGTGTGTGGGGTACCTGGTCCAGCTGAATGTCTGAGGGTACGTCTACACTTGAAAGACAAACCCGAGGTACTGAGTCTCCGAGCCCAGGTCAGGTGATAGCCATGGAGACATTGGGGCTCAGGCTGGAGCCCGGGCTGTGAAACTCTCCCCCTCGCTAGGTTACAGAGCCCAGGCTCCAGCCCAATCCTGAAAGTCTACGCTGATGTCTTTAGCACTGCAGCCCAGTCCCCGCGACCCTATCAATGGCCCTGAGCTCTGACACTCAGCACTGCTGGTGTTTCTCCACAGTGTAGACATACTTGTGGGGACACCCCAGCTCACTTGGTGTCAAACCTGCGACTCACTCAGTTTGCCTCATTCTCTCCCGTCCCTTTGCTGACCAGTCACACCTTCCCTAGCAGGCTGATTTAGGTTGGTGGGGGAACCCCAACAAGGAACTAGAGTAAAGCCACCCACTGTTCTCATGACCCACTCCACCCAGTGTCGGGGGTAACTGAGAGCGCAGGGGGGACTCCCAGGTTTCTGTCTTGCTGCATCATTCAAGGGAACTCAACCACCTGGCCCCAGCTGGGCTCGCTTGTCCCTGAGGGCACCTCTGGTATTTGTAACCTCAATGCAAATCGGTGCAGGTGGGGGAAGCTTGCCAGGATCTGCATTGGAGCCTGATCTCTCCAGGGTCTGGGCGCCCTCTGCTGTTTTCTGCTGTAGAGGCCCAGCCAGAAAAGCACATGCATGGGAGAAACCGAGAATAAGAAGCCGTGCGGTCTAGTGAATGGGACATTAGGAGACCTGGGTGACTTCGGGCAAGGCACTTCCCTGCTCAGTGCCTCAGTTTCCCCTCCCACCATCTGTCTGTCTGTTTTATCTGTGTAGGTTGCGAGCTCTCTGGGACAGGGTCTGTCTGTACAGCCCCCGACACAATGGGGCCCTGATCTCAGCTCTGCTGTGATCTAAATAACGCTGAAGGGAGTACTGGAGAAGGAAGGTACCCAGGGATGTCCAAGGATGATGTGTCAGCTGTTGGGATGGGGGTGGCAGGGTGACTTTTTTCTCCTCACCTCTCCTTCTTGCCTTCCTCTCCAGGCTTGTCTGGGAACCCAGCGGATCTGGAGAAGCGGAGGCAGGTTTTTGGCCAGAACTTCATCCCGCCCAAAAAGGCCAAGACCTTCCTGCAGTTAGTCTGGGAGGCGCTTCAGGACGTCACACTGATCATCTTGGAAATCGCAGCCATAATCTCCCTGGGTCTGTCGTTCTATCACCCCCCAGGTGGCGACAACGAATGTGAGTGCCCCACAGCTGCGGCGGGGAAGGGGCCGCGTCTCCAGGAACATTCACTGAGAACTGGCACGGAAGGGGTTGGTCTTGCCAGGAGCCGCACTATCCTATCCCCTAGGCTGTATCATTTGTGTTCTGGAAAAGGCGCTTTGATCGCTGCTTTAGGCTTCCTCTTTAGGATCAGTCCTCAGCTGGTGTGACCCTGAAGCTGGAGGAACTATCTGGGTTTGCACAGGCTGGGGATTTGGCCCAGTGACTTCAGTGGAACTCTACCTCTGCCCCAGCTGGGGATCTGGGGCCTCATATTTCCCTTCCCCACTCCTGCCCCAACATACACGCTGCCTGATTGACTCTTAAGCAGATTTTCCCTAGCTGAGTTCCCTAACATACAGCTGACATCGCTGAGTTTTCCTGCCGGTTTCCTTGCCAGCACACCTCTCCCACTGTACAGCTAGATGCTACAGTGCTGGGTGTGGTGGAAAATGCTAACATCTGTGAACTGATCCAAAGCCCATTGAAGCTAATGGAGAGATTCCCATTAACCTTGAATGGGCTTTGGGTCAGGCCAATAGACAAAAAGGGTTAATGCCTATGTCCTGGCCACATTCCATCTCTGTTAATTCTCTGCCCCTTGCCGTTTCAGGGAGATACAGGATTCGCTTACTGCAACACAGTTCAGAACAGGGGCTTGTTAAACAACTTCCAGGCTCCACCTCAGAAGCAGCTGCATCTGAGGGAGTCAGAACTCCTGTTAATAGTCTGTTGGAGAGTGCTCTGGGATTATATGGGCTTAAAAGGTGCTATACAGAAAGATATGAGCGCTGTCTTCCGAGTGCCTATAGTCCCTGCAAGGAGAAGTCAGTGGCACGATCCTGGCGCTAAAGGATGCTGTGGATTGGATGCGAGACCCTAGGCTGTGGGGGGGGTTGCAGGGAAAGTACTGGCTTCCAAGCTAGACCATGGCGCTGAGTTTTCATCCTATGGAACAGTAGAGGAGAGGAAACTGCAGCATGTCTCGTATCCTGTGTGTCTCTGCATCAGTTTATGGATCAAAATGAATCTGAACTCTAAACACAAGGAAGGCCAGGCAGGCTTGGCAGGATGGGCTGAGAACGGGGGTGAAAAAATTCTGCTCTTGGCCAGAGATAGCAAAATAATCCCAATTGGAGACCCCAAGAGGAAAACAGCTCCCTGACCAGGGGCAATAGGCTGAAGAGAGGGGGTGAAGAGCAGAGGAGCGGTTTGGCTGATATGCTGATCGGGGCTTGGTCTGCACACCTGCTGTGTGGGTGGGTAGCTAGATAAATGGAGGCAGGCCTTCACTGGTGTGATGGCAGCATGCAGGGCCCAGCTGGTCAAAGTCCTGCCTTTCCTATGGCCCCATCTGACTCCCATCCAGCTCAGTGGGAGTCCTTCCATTGACTCGGATAGGAGTTGGAGCAGGCCCCTTGCAGCCAATCCCTGATGCCTCAGGGGAAGATTAGTCCCCAACCTGTGATCCTGGCTGTGCAGCGCTATATGCCCAGAACAAGGGAGAAAGGTTCTCCAGACCTGTCACGTATCCATACTGGTGCACTTATATACATGTATGTTAAGGCTCTATCTGCCACCAAGATACCAAGCACCCACCTAGTAGGCTTGGAAATACCTGCATGGTGGTCTGTATCTCCTAACCGTACCAGATCCCGGTGCACGTGCATACACCATAGCTAAGATAAAAGCACCCTGTCCCCTGAACAACCACCTCCTAGTGCGTGACCATTATGTTTTGGGTTTGCATTGCTGGTCATCCTGCTGTGTGCTCAGCCCTGGGGATACCTACCATGAAGCAGGCTATACAGGGTCTATCGTAGCTCTCGAGAGAGAGAGACACATTCCCACAGGCTGATCTCATGCCAGCGTGTGTAATCTAGTACCTGTCATCCAGAGATCTGAGTCCTTTGCGAAGTCTGGATTATGCCTCTGGCAATGTCCGTATCAGGTGGGCTGATAAGTGTGGTCTGGCCACGTGACTTAATCCCAGCTCTGATGGGGTGCCCCTTTGTGGTTTTGGAGGTGGATGGGCAAGGCATGTCACCTCTTCGAGCCTGTGTAAATTGGGGCCTTAATCTGTAAGGGTTAATTGGTTAAGGGTTGCAAAGTTCTCTGCAAGGGCCCAGTAATGGTGTTTGCTTAGTTTTTATTGGTGGCTGTTTGAAGTATCAAATTGGGATAACAACTGAGGAAAGCAAGACACAGATGGTGACTCATTCCCAAGGTCACACCTAGAGAGGGCATGTCAGACCTGTGAAAAGAACTCCAGTGTCCTGATTCCCAGGCCCCTGCCAAAATAACTTCTATGCAGAAATGGCTGGATGGGCAGTGTCCGTAGGAGAAGGGCGACCAGAGGGAGTGACTTGTGGGAGAAAGGGACAGGAGGCATCTGTGTGTATGTGGGCTTTTCAGGCCCTTTGCTGTGCAACATGCTGACAGATACAGAGAACTCCTTTACGTGACTGAATCTTCCTCTTCTCTGCACTTCCTGCCCCCCCCCACCCCCACCCCGGCAGTGTGTGGCCAAGCAGTGGCGGGCGCGGAGGATGAGGGGGAGGCGCAGGCTGGCTGGATCGAGGGAGCAGCCATTCTCTTCTCGGTGATCATTGTGGTGCTGGTGACGGCCTTCAACGACTGGAGCAAGGAGAAGCAGTTCCGGGGTCTTCAGAGCCGGATCGAGCAGGAGCAGAAGTTCACGGTCATCCGTAAGGGGCAGGTGATCCAGATCCCTGTGGCTGAGATCGTGGTGGGGGACATTGCGCAGATCAAATACGGTGAGTGGTGGGAGGGGAGCCAGCCCACAGAGAGTTGACTTGGCCAGTTCAGGCACTCCTGTGCCTGTCTCACACCTTGCCCTTTCCCTCCTTGAGTTGGCTCAGTCATGGAGCTGCCAGCAGTGGAAACTGAGGCCCTGGCTGCCTTCTTCGCTGGATGTGGGCAGTACCTGTTCCCCACTTGTCCCAGCATGCCTTCATCCTGACCTTACAGGGGCTGCTGTCTGTGGAGGACAATGTCTGCCTGCGTGGGCTCCTCACGCACAGAGGCAACTGTTGGTGCTAAGCTGGACTCTGTGGAGTACCTCGTGCTGTAGCCATTTCCCCAGCAGGGACTCACCGAATTGCTTTTGCTCAGGCTTTCATTGCACTGAAGAAAAATTTCTCCAGTCAGCAATCTTCTACGTCCCGCCCCACCGTGTCCCTTTGCTGTCTGTCACCACTGGGAGCTTGTCTCTACAGCTTTGCTGTAAGGAGTAATTTGTTTTTGTTTTTTTTGTTCTCCCACCATTGTGCTACCTCTTCTCCCCTAGACTTAGCCATGCCTTGGGATTCTGGGTAATCTTCCTGGCATCAGGAATTCTTCAGGCCTTGCCTCCCCAGCCGCAGACTGAGAAAAGGGCAGGATGAGCTTTGTGTCAGGCACAGGCTGGCCTGTAATGTGTTCCCTCCTCTTTCAGGTGATCTGCTGCCCTCGGATGGGATCCTGATCCAGGGCAATGATCTGAAGATCGACGAGAGCTCTCTGACTGGGGAGTCGGACCATGTCAAGAAATCCCTGGATAAAGACCCCATGCTGCTTTCAGGTGAGGCCACCAGACGTGACTTGTGACCCAAGCCCTCCACGCTAGGGCTGGAAACCCCAGCCAGATACCCAGCCTCTGGATGCTTTGGGGTTTGGCAGGATTCATGTTCAGATGACCCAGTGCTGGTACCCTCCCAATGCCGGCACAAGTTAGACCGGGTTCTGCATGCCCATCCCTGGAGCATGGCCAGCAGGAGATGGCTAGATCCCTTCTGGCCATTCATGGTCCTAGCACAGCATAGAGTGGCCCCTCAGCTACTGATCAGACCAAGAATGGTCTTGGTGGATGACCAGCCTTGGAGGGTGAATCCCCTTCCAGAGCAGGGACAGCATGGGCAGCAGCAGAGCAGGTGTCTGTTGCCATTTGCTCCCTGCCGGTATGCTCCAACCCTGTCCTGGAGGGGTTTCTGTAGTGTGGCAGCATGTGTGGGTTGGGGCCAATATAAAAATCTCGCTAGACTGATAGGATCACTTCTAGCGGGGAGTTCCGTCTCAGTGGCCCGTTGTGATGGCGATGCCTGCCCCAGGGAACCTGGAATGAGATCCAGTTAACTTAAAACGAGGCTCTGAGCAGCCGTCATTCCAGCAATAACTTTGGGTCTCGGTTGACCTGGGCCAGGTTTGAACCGGTGACCCGGAAGCAACAGGTTCTGTACCCCATCCCCTGGAGTCCAACAGTCTCTTGTGTTAAAATAGTCAGGAAGTTGACTGTTAATGTCTCCTCTTCCTGGTTCGTGTTTTCCTTTCCCCTCGATGCTTCATTCCCCTGGCCAGGTACCCATGTGATGGAGGGCTCCGGACGGATGTTAGTGACGGCTGTGGGCATCAACTCGCAAACTGGAATCATCTTCACTCTGCTGGGTGCAGGAGAAGGGGAGGAGGAGAAGAAGGTGAAGAAAGGTATGGCGATCTCTGGGAGCCCAGCTGTTTCTTTCTGGGATGTGGTGAGCTGTGTCCATGGCTGAGAGGGAACACGCAGCCCCATTTAGTGTGAGTGACTGAGCTGGGCCTGTCAAGCCTTAGGAGACGAAGCTGGGAATCCCACTTCTAGCACCATCAGGTCATGATGCAGGGAACACACCGCATGAGAAGGCCCCTTCCATGCTTGGGAGCCTGGGGGCACTGCCTGGGCTCCCCTTCCTGTGCCTTCTTTGACGCACCATCCACCGCTCTGTCTCCATCCAGCCGCAGCTCGGGAGCATGTGGGAGCAGGCTTCAGAGGCAGAAAGGGAGTGGCTATCAGAGCTGGCTTTGGCAAAGAGGCTGTCAATGGAGTTACTATTGCTCCAGCCCCATGGCGGGAGGTGACTGATAGCTGAAATGATCCATGTCCTTCAGACAGTCCAGCACCCGAGGGCTTCACCAGCAGCTTTCTTTCTTTCTCTCTCCATTTGTTCTCTCTTTTCATCCAAAGACCGACTCCCCATCCCCCAGGGTTGACCTGGCAGTGTGGGGGTGGGGGAGGATGGCTAGGAGGACTTGCTTTGCTCTGCTGTCTGAGATCCTCAGCTGGTAGGACTTTGTGCAGGGAGAGGGTCACTCCTGGCTCCCTGACTTTGGTGGGTGGGGAAATGCGCCTTTGGGGACCCCCCCCCCCCGCATATACACCTTGCATTAAGCTATTGTGAACTTTGGACCCATTCCTATCCTGGTAGCCCACTTTTCCCAGAAAAGAGCTGTGGGGCCTTGCACTTAACAGGTTCAGCCCTTTGCTCCTTCCGTTCACTGGCTCCAGGCTACAAGAGGGGCCGGTCGCTCATAAGCCCCTTGCGGTGGGGTGAGCTATGGCGCCAGGCTGATCCCAGTGCTGCTGTCTGAACCCCTCGTGTTCTGAAAGCTGAGGGCACTCTGCGGGGAGCCCCGGGGTGTGTGTGTGTCAGTCAGGGGGAAGAAGTGGCGTGTGCCCACAGGGTGGGAGGGGCACAGCTTGTCAGGCTGCGTTGCTCACCTATACAGCACCGACCGTGCCAGGAGCCAAACACCACCCTGCACACCGCTCCGATGTCTTGCTGCTTATTCCACCCACTCCACCCCAATCCCTGCCGATCACAGATGGCTCAGAACCGTGCCGCCTCCTTTCTGGGGCTCCGAGACAATCCAGCAACTCCCCACTTATCAAAGCAGCCCAATGCTCCCTCGCTCCCAGTCCGCAGAACAGGCGTTGGTGCTGTCGATCCGCTTTGGCAAAGCATCCGGGGATTAGTAAAAGGGACCAGATGATGGGCTCTCTGCTGTCTCCCTACAGAACCGCTGCTCATGGACAGTGCTTGTCAGAAGGATTAAGGAGGATGAGGCAGAGTGAGTGGAGAGGCAGCTGTTCATCTCCTCTCCAGCTAGCCAGGCAATCCTGTGTCTCCCACCTTTGGGGAGTCGCTCCTCTTGCTCAGGGAGTAGCCTTTGGTCTCTCGTTTGAAGCGGTTCCCTCTGTCTCAGGAAGTGGTGCCCAACTTCTTATTTATTCTGCTTCGTAAATGTCACTTGGCATCTCCCCCCGTCCCCGGGCGGTAGCGTTTGCTGGCCGGTTAAGCCTGGCTTGACATCCTGTACTGGAGTCCTGCTCCAGTGCCGTCCCCAGATGTTGAAAGCAGGGGACGGGTGGGCCGAGGGTGCTGTGTCCCAGGGCCCATGCCTCTCCACATCACTGGGCGGAGGGTTGTCTGGATAAATAGTCCAACTTTAGACCCATCAGGCAAAGCCCCTCAGTCCTGCAATGCGGATTTGTTCCCAACAGCTCTTGGCTGCTGCTGCTTGTTTGTATCACAGTCGCGCCCAGGGGCCATAGTCCTAAATCGGGGCCCCATTGTGGTTGGTGCTGAGCATTCACAGAACAAAGACTGTTCCTGCCCCCAAGAGCTTCCATGCTACGTCTAAGACGTTACTGCTATCGTGGTAATCTGGGTGGGTTGTCTGTCTAAAAACTGCTCCAGCTCAAACGGGAATTACAGGCTTGATGCAGAGATCGGCCGGCATTCTGCAGGTCCGACTAGACGATCACGATGGTCCCTTTTGGGCTGGCCTGAAGTTCTGCCCCGGCCGAGATCGGGTTCCCTTTGCATTAGGTGCTGTACAAACACACACAGCCCCACTCATGACAAGCTCATACGCTAAAGAGTTGAGACCACAGGTGGAAGAAGTGAAGTATTTTCTCCATTTCAGATTGGAAATTGAGGCACAGGGAGATGGAAGTGACTTGCCCAAGGTCACACACAGTCTGTGGCAGAGCAGGGAGCTGAGCCCAGAGCTCCTGAGTCCTACCCCAGTGCCTTACCCACGAGACCAGCCTTCGTCAGGCAGAGACTTCCCTTGCCCTGTGGCTAAATGCTCCTTCTAGCAGCAGGGAGAGGAGGGCTGAGACCTGGCAGGAGAAATCCCCTTTGGCTTTTATGGGTGGGAGGCACCTTTGATCTCTTGAGTCCTGGCCAGTTACGTGGAGCCCAGCAGCTGTGTGGGATTCCTGCCATGCGAGTGCCAGCATAGAGAGCACCCAGGGTGTTTTCCTGCCCACAGGGACGTTAATGTCGAGAACCATGTGCTCAGCACTCCACCCTTTTTCTCTTTGTCTGAACAGGTAAAAAAGCAGGAGCCCCTGAAAATCGCAACAAAGGTAACCAGCCTCTCCATCCTTTGAACCAGCACCACACTAACTACCAAGCATTCCTCCTTCCTTCTTCCCATGAGTCTGTGCTCTTCGCCGCTGCAGCGAGAATCTCGCCTTGTTGTCCCGGAAGAGGGTGTAACTGTCCCCACAGTGCTAACCTCCACGCTTCCTTTACCCCTGATCCCCAGTGCCCCCTCCCCGAGCCATCCTGTCCAACTAGGGGCCAGCCTCAAACCCCAGGTCTGTGCTGCTGGAGTCGCAGCACCCTCTGCTGTCAGCCTAGGGTTCTGATCGAAGGATTTGGGTTTGGTTTTTTTTTTGTTTTTTGGGGGTTTTTTTTCCCCCACCATTGGTGCTGTGAGGGGGGATGACGGTTCTTTGCGCCCCATGAGGCGGCCTGGCCTCTTCCAAAGGAAGGTCTGGGCTAGACAGACAGCAGCACATCAAGATCTGTGGGTCGAGGAAGGTGGGAGAGTGGAAGTGGGGAAAAGCCCCATTGTTCAGGGAGGTTTAACATCAGCCTAGAAATAGACCGTTGGGACCAAATCTGCCCCAGATAGTTCTGCCCTGTCTCTGATCTGGGCTGTCAGTTTCCACCACTGCCTTGTACCAGCAGAAAATTGACCACCTGGGATTCTTCCACAGCGCAGCAGCTAGTGATTCCTCCCTCCGTCGGGCCAGGATGAATGTGGACATGGAATCGAGTGAGGAGAGCGCTCTGCAGCAAATGGGGTGGTGGGGATGGGGTTTTAAGTCCGAGCATGAAGTGCTGCCCCCCTCACCCAAGTTTGGACCCGGATCAGTGGTGGGTTTGGCCTGTGAAACTGTTACACCCTGTTCTTCTCATGGCCTTTTTGAATCAAAGTGAGCGTCTACTCCTCCAGTATGTTTCTCACAGTGTTCTTTCCAGGCTGTGTAGAGGAAGCCCATTTCTGCACCTGTCTGTTTCTCCACCCTCCTCTCTCTCTCTCTCTCGGCAGTTTACGTTTCTTTCCTTCCTTCCAATCTGACATGTTGCGTTGTTTTGGGTTTGTGGGTGTTCTGGATTTTTGTTTTGTTGTCTCCTCACCCACCCTCATTTCTGTTCTGTCTGAAAGTCCTAATCAGGGAGGTCACCATTTTGGAGCAACTGTGAGTTCTTCTGAATCCATAACACTTCGGTGGTGGAGGCTAGAAAGGGGAATCTGCTCTGAAACAGCCAGATTTGGATCTGTATGTGAACCACTGCTTTTTTGATTGGGTTGTTTGGCTTTTTTTAAACCCAAGAACAAGAACTGAGATGAAGTAAATAACTTCCATTATTTTTGTGGGGTTTTCTACTCATCTTCATGGTCCCCCACCCCGACTTCTTGTTTCGTTGGTGCTCTTTGGGTTCAAATACTCAAGTGTAGGCCAGCATAGCTCTATTGACATGGGGGGAGCTACATCCGGCTGCATGAGCTGAGGATCTGGCCTTTTTATGTCTTAAGGATCCTAAAGAAATTTTTGGGCTGGATCACAGAGGACTGAAGGTAAAGAAGCCGGTTCACTCCTCCACCTTTAATGAGTCAGTCTCCACCCCCAATCCTTAACCTTCCCTCCCCTCCATTCCACCCCCTCAAATGCTGTCTGCGTAAAGCGACTCCCACTGAGCTTCCATGAAGGCATTAAAGAGCTCATCCATGGCACATGTGTAGAACAGGGGAGCTAAGGAAAGGAAATACTGTTACACGTAGTGGGAAGTTAGCTTGTGGAACTCATTGCCACTATCTCCTCAAGGCTAAGTGCTTAGCAGGATTCCAGAAAGTACAGGACATGCATATGGATAATTACCTGGAGTTATAAAATTTAGGATTAAAGATGACTGTTTTGGAAGGGATCTAAACAGTCATGCTTCAGGGCATAAAGCAGCCTCCAGTGGGGGTTAGGAGGAAACCTTAATGTATTCCATAATGCCCTACTGTAGGTGTTCCTGCACCTTCCTCCGAAGTAGCTTGTGCTTTTGGCCACTGTAGGTGAGAGGATCCTGGATTATCCTGTAATCTGATCCAGCGTGGCCATTCTGATGATCCTGTATTCAAAGGGCTTTACAAACACTTAGCAAATTAAGTCTCCTAACACAACCCTGTAAGGTAAGTATCACAAGCTGCATTTTACAGATGGATAAACTGAGGCACAAGGCAGTGAAGGGACTCTCGCCCAAGACCACACAATCAGGGCCATTGGCGGAGCTGGGAATAGAACCCGGGAGTCTTGGCCCCATACCCTAGTAAGGCTGTCCTGCCTCCTCCGGTGTAATCAAGTAGAGATGTTTTTCCCTTACCTGGGAAGTGGGGTTGGGGGCAGGGAGGCAAATGAGAGATGATCCCACGAGCTGTTCCAGGCACTTGCCCTCTGGGGCAGGCTCCCTGGGACTGTGTAGGCTTTAACCTTAGCGTTTGCCTGTGTGGGCCAGGGGAGTCCTTTTTTTTTTTTTTTTTTGCTCTAGGTTTTTTTTTTTCTCTCTCTCCACCATCTCTGTCCAATGGCGTCAAAAGCTTTACCTCATGGCCTCTCCCACTCACCCACTGTCTCTCTTTTGCCCCTGGGGTGTAGCTAAAACTCAGGATGGTGTGGCCCTGGAGATCCAGCCCCTGAAGAGCCAGGAAGGGGTGGAGAATGAGGAGAAGGAGAAGAAGAAGGTGAAGGTCCCGAAGAAGGAGAAATCGGTGCTGCAAGGGAAGCTCACCCGCCTGGCAGTGCAGATTGGGAAGGCAGGTGAGCATGGATGAGGTGTATCTCCACTCTCAGACAGCTTCACGCTGGTCTGCTCCCCAGTGAAGTTGTAGTGGCAGGATGTTCCACTAGATGTGTTGGCAGTGACCATGAGGGACAGATAGTGCGGGCTAGAGACTGGCATGGTGTGAGAAGGTCCCTGTGCTGGTTCCCCTCAGTCCTAAGCTGCAGCACGTCCTGCTATTCCAGCCTTGGATCCCCCACACTCAGCTTTGCTGACGCCCCTTCATCCCAACGGTACCCCCAGGCCCATCTTTGCTAATGTACCTCGGTCCTGACCTCCAATACCCTCTGGCACTCCATGCTCACAGATTTGCTCACGCCCCTCAATCCTGAACTCCAGCTCTCCCGTGCCCTAGTCCAGTCCTAGGTCTCCACATAGCTCTGCTAATGAACCTCCGTCTTCACCAGCAGCCCCTCGGCTAGTCTGGCCCGGGGAGTCTATGGGATCAGAGACCCTGCTGTGAACACTTTGAAATGCTGGGGCAGGCTTAAGTGTGGATGGACGCCCAGGCAAAGAGCCCCCAGGGTTCAAGCCTGGGGGAGCAGAGCTCCAAGACACTCTTGTCAGAGCGGCTTTCCCATCTCGATCCCCAGCCTAGGGGTGTGGGCGTCGCTACAGGTCTCGCTGGCCTCTCACCTGTCTCCTTCCCTAGGACTGATCATGTCGGCCATCACGGTGGTCATCCTGGTGCTGTACTTTGTGATCGACACCTTTGGGGTGCAGCAGAGGCCCTGGCTGGCTGAGTGCACCCCCATCTACATCCAGTACTTCGTCAAGTTCTTCATCATTGGCGTCACCGTGCTGGTGGTGGCCGTGCCTGAGGGCCTGCCCCTGGCTGTCACCATCTCCCTGGCCTACTCGGTCAAGGTGAGGCCGCACCTGGGCGGGGAATGTTGGGGTGACTGTGTTCACCAGAAGGGGAGGGGTTGTTCCCCTCACCAGAAGGCTGGGGCGGGGGAAGTGTTGAGCAGAGGACAGTAATGGGTTCCCATCTTCACCAAGGCGCATAGAGGGAGCTGTGCATATTTGGAGGTGGGGGTGCTATGTTCACGATGGCAAGGGGGGCTTTGGAGGGGCAGAGTGCAGATGGAGGTGGCTCTCCTCCCCACGGGAAGGCCGGGAGCAGAGGGGGCAGAGGCCTGTTTTTCCCAGCTGTTGTGCAGGGAGGCCGGCGCTGGGCCGCGTTAGCCACCGGCTGGGGAAAGGGATTCTCATTTACTCCGCTGCTGCTCCCCTGCCCAGTGTCCTGCTCTCCCAGACAAACCCTCCCGTCCCCTTGTTCTAAGTAAGCCAGGAGCCTGGCCTGGCACTGCTGGGGACGCACGTGGCAATAGCGCTTCCTGCCAAGCCAGCGGAGCGCCGCGGAGCAGAGCTGGGAGGGCGTGGGGGTGTCGGGCTGGCCCTACAGAAACGGCATCCCTCGCTGAGGTGATGCTGAGTGCAGAGGCCATGGCCTCCCCGTTCCTCTGTGTTCCCAGTGCCCTTGGCTCCAGGATCTGCCTTCCCGGGGGGGTGCGAAGCATGGCTGTGAGCTCCGGCTGTGTGCCGTGTGAAGACACACAGGTGAGGAGAAGCCTACCTGCCTCTTAACCCTTTCACGGCCTGTCTTGCGCCCCGCTGCAGAAAATGATGAAGGACAACAACCTGGTGAGGCACCTGGATGCCTGCGAGACCATGGGCAACGCTACGGCCATCTGCTCGGACAAGACTGGCACGCTCACCATGAACCGCATGACCGTGGTGCAGGCCTACGTGGGCGACACCCATTACCGGCAGATCCCCGACCCCGAAGCCATCCTGTCCAAGGTCTTGGACCTCATCGTCCATAGCGTCGCCATCAACTCCGCCTACACGTCAAAGATCCTGGTGAGTTGTCCTCCCCCTGCTACTCTGACAACGCTGCTTCTAGCCCCTCCCAGAGCTCAGGTGGCTGGCGACCCATGCAAAGGAACAGCACAGGGAAAAGCTTGGGGCTGTGATAGGATATGGGGGAGGGGGTGTAAGATTTACTTCCCGATGAACAAGGAGTTAAGAGCAGCTTAGCACGCTTTGTGTCCTCCACACAGCTGGTCAGAGGATCTAGTTCAAATAGGAATTAATGGCCCCTGTTATGCAGAAGGTCGGATTAGATGATCAGGGGTCCGTTTTTCCCCTTAAATCTGTGACTTTCCATCACTTTGCACGGGCCTTTACATAGATGTGGTGATGCAGAGAGTCTGAAACAATGGGCCAGGTCCTCAGCTGGGGTTTATGCCTCTTAGTTCTCCGGGGCTGGGGTTGACCTCAGTGGCGCTATCTTGATTTGCACTAGCTGAGGATCTGGCTCCAAGGCTCTAAGAAGTGGAATCTACTCCCATTTCATCTTGACTTGTTCGCTCTGGACCCTGCTGATCACAATCTTTAAAAAGTCAACATCCATTATATCCCTGCAGATCAGACTTCCAACTCCTCCCCTCCTTTCCCCCCACCTCAGTGGGCCTGGCCGGGAAGATTTGTATTGACTTTTATTTCCCCCCTTTCTCCCCACTTTGGGAACTTCTTAGCCACCAGAAAAGGAAGGGGGCCTCCCGCGGCAAGTGGGGAACAAGACAGAGTGCTCCCTGCTGGGCTTCGTCCTGGATTTGAAGCAAGACTACCAGGCAGTTCGGAACGAGGTGCCAGAGGAGAAACTCTACAAGGTCTACACCTTCAACTCAGTGCGCAAATCCATGAGCACGGTGTTGAAAAACCCGGACGGCAGCTTCCGCATGTACAGCAAAGGAGCCTCGGAGATCATCCTACGCAAGTAACTACCCTTCCCTCCTACGTTGCTGAGTAAGCCATCCCCCTGCTAGAGCCACTAGTGGTGCTTCTGAATGCAAATTCTCTGGCTATGCTCCACAGGCCACTGGTGGTCTGGGGAGCCCTTCCCAGAATGAACCCAGAATTGTGGGAATTTCAGTGGGGAGGGGACATCTGTGAGATCTCTCTTGTGAAAAAAGACTCATGTACATTATCTGCAGAACAGAGAAGAATAATCCCTAGTTCTTGTATAGCACACTTTTTTCATCTGTAGATCTCAGAGCGCTTTACAAAGGAGATCAGTATCATTATCCCCATTTTACAGATTGGGAAACTGAGGCCCAGAGAGATGTAACTTGATGGGTTCTATTCCCAGTCTGCTTGGTAACCACAGTCTCCCAAGTCCTGGTCCAGTGCACTATTCACTAGGCCACACTGCCTCTGGGAAAGCTTCAAATAGCACCTAGTGAAGTGAGCGGTTCTCTGCCATCTTTGAGCCTGCATGCGGTCATTATAAGAGCATTGTGCCATGCAGGACAGCCCCGTGGCTTCATCCTCAGTTGCTTGGCATAAAATACAATCTGTTAATTGGAGCTCAAGCGGAACCTGTCTGGAGGGCGCTTGGCACATTTGCTGAGTAATTGTTTTGTCACTTCTACTGCTGCCTTTGCGCTCCTGGCAGCCAAAATGCCATGCAGAAGCTGCGTTGGTGTCTGCAGCCAGGTAGTGCCATACATCTGGCAGGGAGTGTGTTCCAGAGAGATTCCACGCCCAGCTCTGCAGCCCTGAGAATCTAGGCTGTTTCAGGGAAGGAAGCATCCACCTCATGTATATATAATTTTTTTTTCCCTTCCTGTGGGCTCACCTGCAAACTCTTGGGGTTCATGCCTAACTGACAGATGAGGGGCTTGCTAAATCGGTGGCACCGTCTCTTCTGATGTGTGGCTGGGGCTGGGAGTCTTGCCTCTCTAGTTCGTCGGCAGATGCCAAGCCATCTCTCCGTTAACTTCTGAAACCTCTCGCCGTGTGCAGGTGCACAAAGATTCTGGACAAGAACGGGGACTTGCGGGTGTTCAAGGTGAAGGACCGGGATGAGATGGTGAAGAAGGTGATTGAGCCGATGGCGTGCCAAGGACTGCGCACCATCTGTCTGGCCTTCCGCGACTTCCCTGCCGACGCCGAGCCTGACTGGGACAGCGAGAACGAGATCGTGTCTGACCTGGCCTGTATCACCGTGGTCGGCATAGAGGATCCTGTCCGGCCAGAGGTACCACAACGCCCTCTCACCACCTTAACCCGGGCAGTTCGGCTGCTTTGCTGGCTGCATGTCCCTTCCCCACCCTGCTGCAGCATGAGCTCTGTGCCCCCCGGTCTGCTGCTGCTGCGGGGTGATGAGTGCCCGTCTAGAGAGGTGGATGGGGCACGAGCACCCCACAGAGATGTCCTGCAGTGTGCCACGCATTGTCTCCCCCGGTCCCTGTGCCATGTGGGGGTGCCTGCTCCTGAGGTGCCCTCGCTCTGTGCCACTATGCGGAGCACGCCAAGTGCCTGGGGTGTGCGCTTCCCTCCCTTCCTCACCTGTATACCAGGCACATCCCCACAAAGGCATCTTGGTCTGAGCCAGGTGTCTGGGCACGAGCGCCCCTCCAGTGCCAATGTTCAAGGGAAGGGTGCATTGCCAGAGGTTGCCCAGAAGTCGGGTGGAGTGTTCCACAGGTGAAAGGTTAATGGGGGGGTGGGGGGGAACTGATTTGCTGCCCCCCAGGGTGGGAGAGTACTGTTTACAGGAACCTGTTTTCCCCAGCGATGCCCACCTGCTCCTTCCCCCTGTTCTTTCTCACAGCTCGCCCGGGGGTAACAGACAGACCGCTGGGCTAAAGCAATAAGCAGTCCCATGCCTGCCTCTTTATTACATTTTGGAGCCTGCCTTGCTCTCGTCTTTCCCTAATTAGACGTTGAAGTATCTGGGCTCGGGAATCGCATTACAGATGCCCGGTCTGCACCGGCTCTGGAGGCCATGATTCAATTTGCTGATTTCTCAGTAATGTTTTTCCCCCCCACACACACACACACACAGCCGAGGACGCCCTACCCCCTGCTCAGGCTCGTTATGTATGAGATGAAACCTATTTAGCGCAGCGACGTGGTGCTGCTGCAGCCGGAGATGCCGGGCTGGGCCGCTGTCAACGTGCCATCCGGCAGAGCAGGAGAAATAAAACGTCCCACGTCTCGATTAGATTGCTCATCCGTACTGCAGCACCGGAGGTTCCTGAGCACCGCGGCATCGCGTGGAGGAGGCAATGAGGTTACGTGTCCCTGGGGGCAGTAGAGGAACGGCCCCGCAGTCAGTTCCAGGAACGGCTCTGAACAGACCTGCTGTCCTCTAGCACCATGGAGAGAACGAGCTCCTTGGTTCAGAACCGCTCAGCCAGTGCCTCCTACACCGAGCTTAGAAGTGAGCTGGCTCCTGTCAAACTCTCAGTAACTTGAGTCCCCTGTGCGCGACTCAGTACGATGGGGCTCCAGTGCCCAGCATCTGGGCTCCATAGACCCGACTTGCCATGCGCTGCTTCCCCGCTCCTGTGGAGCAAGATGGAGACTCTCTGCCTTGCCCTCGGTTAGCCGCTGCCTGGTTCTTGACGCCAGGAGGCCAGTGTCAAATCAACCACCCCATGGGGTTGGAGAACAAGGCATAGAAGCAAGACTCCGCTCCTTCCTGCTCTCTGGTTCTTGGGGATTCCTCTGTCTGGGGCTTTCCTTCCAGGCTGCCCTGAGCCTTCCACCCTACGCAGCATCCCTCTGCATGATCCTGTTGTTGGTGGCCAGCCCGGCCCAGCCCAGCGGTGCATTGGGACTGAATGAGGCCTGAATTCACCAAAACTTGAACCAACCTCCTGCTCCAACCCCCTCAAGACATCTCAGCCCCACCCTGGGCTCCTTGATCTTCATCCCCCTGGACCTTCTCCCTGGATGGACTCTTCGCACCCCCAGCTCCCTCGCGCACCCAACTTTCCCAGATGCTGCTCCTCAATTTGCCCTGGCTTGCTGCCATGCCTGAACCTCTCCTGACTGCTGGGCCAGGATTCCAGCAATCCTACCTTCATCTGCCGCTCCTTCCCAGGGAGGCCTCCTGCTGCACCAAAGCTGCTAGCATGTCCCTTGTATGCCAGCTTTTCTGTGCCCGTTACCCCAGCCCTCCATTCACACTGTACAGGTGGGGCTCCTTGAGTCTGTCTGACCCTACAGGTTTTTTCCACAGCTTCTTTTTCCAGTCCGTCTCTCTTCCCCCATCTGTCACTTTTCCACAGCAGGGCTGCCCAAAGGATTCAGGGAGCCTGGGGTCTTCGGTGGCAGGGGTCCTTCCGCTCCGGGTCTTCGGGACGCTTTGCCGAAGACGTGGAGCGGAAGGACCCCCACCGCTGCACTGCCGCCAAAGACCCGGAGCGGCAGAAGTGGCAGCGGGTCCTTCACTCCGGGTGTGTTCAGCGGCGCTGAAGGACCCCCCCCGCTGCCAAATTGCCCCTGAAAACTCCCCTGGGGGCCCCTGGGGCCCCTGAAAACTCCCCTGGGGCAAATTGCCCCACTTGCCCCCCCCTCCGCCCGGGTGGCCCTGTTCCACAGTGTTTCTCTCTGACCTCGCCCGTAGGTGCCAGAGGCCATCGTGAAGTGCCAGCGTGCTGGCATCACCGTCCGCATGGTGACAGGCGACAACATCAACACGGCCCGCGCCATCGCTACCAAGTGCGGCATCCTGCTGCCTGGGGAGGACTTCCTGTGCCTGGAGGGCAAGGAGTTCAACCGGCTCATCCGGAATGAGAAGGGAGAGGTAGGAATACAGATAAGGGACCCTGCCTCTGTATGAGTCACTCGGGGCCCTGGGCAATGGACTCCAGAGGCATCTTCGGAAGCGTAGCCTGCTGACAAAGGGTGCGGTTAGCTCCGAACCATAGATCTGGAAGTGCAGCACAGGCAGGAGCAAGAGGCTACCTCCATAATACATGGCCTCTTGGACCAAAACTGAACTGGACCTCGCTGCTTATAATGCTTCGAATGCCTGTCATGGAGAGCTGCCTGCTCAGCTCGTATCAGCTGGAGCTTCTAGCCAGCTTGGCTAGGGGCCAGTGACCCCTGGTAGATGCCTGGGCTCCAGACTTGTCGTGGGAGAAACAGTAAAGTTGAGGTGAAGGGACCATCCAGTCCTCGCTCCCCGTCCTGCCCTACCTAATGATCCTTGGCTCTCAATAGGGCTGGACAAAATTTTTCAGTGACTGCATTTTTCAGTGAATAAACTAGTTTCAGGCTGAGAAACTGTTCACGAGTTTGGGTCCAATTCTGCCTATCGCTTCAGCTGGGGGGGAAAACAAAGGGGAAAACTTTTGGGGAAAGTTGAACTATTTTAATTGGATATTTTTGCTAAATGAACTGTTTTGACTTCTTGTTTTGAAATCGAGCTAGTAAAAACCCCCCGCACCTGAAAACTAAACTAAACTTTTTGGACCCACACTGAATAGTTCGTTCAGTTTTTTTTTTCTTTTCGGCCAGCGAACTGAATGATCAATGATTCGCTCGGCTCTAGTTTTCAAACGCCTGCCTGGCCAGGCCCACGGAGGCAGCTTCACGCTCCTTGACCGACTCAACGTCTCTCTCTTGGTTGGTCCTGCAGGTGGAGCAAGAGCAGCTGGATAAAGTCTGGCCCAAGCTGCGAGTTCTGGCCCGTTCCTCCCCCACGGATAAGCATACGCTTGTGAAAGGTAAGCGCTCCTGTACAAATTCCCACAGGGTAGGGAACCTGGACTCCTGTGTTCTTTTCCTAGCTCTGCCGTTGACTCACTGTGACCTAGAGCAAGACACTTTTTCCCCCATCATTCCTTGTGCCTGACATGTTTTCCCCATCTGTATAACAAGGCTAACTGGTGCTGATCATCTTCCTAGGGGGGCAGTAAGGCTCAAGGACTGAGATCCTTGCAGGGAAGGTGATCTGGAAAGGCAAAGTATCAGCAGTGGTATGATCCTGCCATAGGTGCTGGAACTGGAGGTGCTGGGGTTACGGCTGCACCCCCTGGCTTGAAGTGGTTTCCTCTACAGCGTTGACAGTTTGGTTCAATGGTTCTCAGCACCCCTGCCCCTACAAATAGTTCCAGCACCCCTGCCAGAAGAGACACTGGATGAGAGTCTTAAAAACAGTGCCTGTCCCCAAGGAGAGACGCAGCCCTGCAATATTCAGTGGCTGACAGGTGTCCACATTAAGAGAAGACGTGCCACTGTTATATCGTTGCCACTTTGTGCCGATCTAGTGATTCCCAGGCTAACTGCTACCCAGTGCAGCTCCATCTGTGCAAGGAGCCCATGCTGGGGCCTGTTGCCTTTGAACCCTGTGTCTGTGTTTCAGGAATTATTGACAGCACTGTTGGAGAGCGGCGGCAGGTGGTGGCCGTGACTGGGGACGGGACCAATGATGGCCCAGCCTTGAAGAAAGCTGATGTCGGATTTGCTATGGTATGGAAGAATATGAGTCTTTCTCCGTGTGCTGCATTGTGTTAGAAACATCCTATGGATTTGAAGAGGAGTGAAAACCTTTTGTGGTATAGGAATCGCGCAAAGGCTTACAGGATGTAGTAGAAGAGGAGATCATTTTAATCATCCTATAGAATTTTATCCCTGCTATAAAATTCTCTATAGACTTCATAAGATGGTTCAAACATTTTGCAGGGAGGTGATCACTTTGTATTAAGTGCTATAGGATTTTTGCCACAAGGGTCCTGGAAAATATCCCATACCAAGAAACAATCCTCTTATCCTGGCTTGAAGACGAACCCTCCCTCCTTTTACATTCTTAAAGGGACATTGTCAGATTAAGAATCCTAGCCTTAACGTTCAAACTTGGCTGCTGAAAGCTAATGTCCTAAACCCACACATAGGCACCTAAATAAACATAGCCTGGTTTTCATATAGGCTCAAGACAATGGTAGGTGCAGATGTTCAGCACCTCTGCAAATCAGCCACATGTATTTAGGAGCCTGGCTGAAAGGACCCAGGCCTGGAGTTACTGACCCAAACGGAAAATAAACAACCCCAAATCTTATCTTTCTGTTAATGCATTAGCTTATTTACCCAGAAAGAATCTGAAAATCTAGCTTGCGCTTTGCTGTTAACACTGTTTGCCTACTTTTCTGCATTTCTTTCAAATGGAACCAGGAAAATAAACTGGTCATTTTTCCCCTGGTTTCTAGTCCGTTTCATGGTCAGGTTCTGGTACTCTAGCATAAGGCTGCAGTGTTTGGGTTGCAGCCACTACAGGGGAATGTATGTATGTTTAAACAGATTCCTTTTGGAATTTTCTTTAAACAAAGATCTGTTGGAAGCCGTTTTGCAGGCCTGGGATTTCAAAGGGTTTGCAGGCCCATTTAATCCTCCCGAGCCCCTGCAACATAGTTTTCTGTCTTTCTCTCACTCATTGATTTAGTCCAAGCAATGGACTTGATTGCTGGCTAAAACTAAGGTCTTGAGTCTGCAGGCTGGACATAGGCGTTCTACAGCTGGAGAGGTGACTGGATCGGGTGCTGAAATCCGATGACCAATCCTTTTTGGGGCTGAGTGTTGTGCTGAGAATTGAAAAGAATGGCTGCCCTGCTGCAGTCTGTGGGGATGGACTTTCCCAACAGGAAACTAAGGGCCCCTTACTGTTTATCTCTGACTATGGACTCCGGAGACTGGGAAACAAACAACGTGGTCAAAATTCAGTGTCACGTTTGCCCTCCTACCAAACCAGGAAATTGACAGCTAGGGACAGAATCTCCCAATACCCAGGCTCAACAGGACCCAGCAGGAGAGCATTAGGCAAAATCATGAAGCTGCTTCCACTTAACACATCTGCACGTAGCTGTGCCTTTGCTCCTGGCAATGGCAGCATCTGTGCAAACTGAGCACCTTCTAGTGCCCACGACTGATTACTGCAGCAAGCAGCCTGATCTCTTTTAAATGGCCATTGTGGAGTGCCTTAGATGTATGTGGCGCTTTGCAAAACACAGAGGGAGTCTTTGCCCCAGAGAGATTGCAGTGGGCACAGGGGTCCACCTGGTTTGGTGCTCATTGCAGGATTACAGTCTCAATTAAGACCAGAGGAGCGGGGCGGGGGTGTGTGCCAAACACGGGAGAGTAAATCCTCAGACACCTCTGCCAGCAAATGAACTATACTGGGTGCAATTTTGGGGGGAAGCCCATCTGTTTCTCTGGAGCTCCCTACCAGAGAGAGCGTGCTTCTGGATCCCAATGGTCCCTGTTTGTATGAACACTTAGCAAAAAGGATCAAGGGGAAATAGCTACTTTTAAGTATCGGGGTAGCCGTGTTAGTCTGTATCCACAAAAACAACACTGAGTACGATGGCACCTTAAAGACTGACTGACTATTGTTGCGTGCTCCATTTCAACACTCTGTGAGGTAAGAGGTGTTGGCAGGAGATCCCATACCAGAATTGACAGCCTGCTGTCCCCAGGTAGGAAGGAAGGTGCTTGGTGCATAGGATGTGGAAGCTGTTCCAAGCATAGAGGGCGTCCTGTAAAGATAGAAGCGGGCTCATTCTGGTCATAGGTCTGATCTGGATCTAAACTTCCAAGGCTTGTCAGCATTGTGCAACAGGCCTGTCTCTGGGAAGAAGCAGAGCACTGGCATGGGGAGGTGGACAGTTTGCCCAGTGACCCCCAATTATACATATAAAATGATGGGGTCTAAATTAGCTGTTACCACTCAAAGAGATCTTGGAGTCATTGTGGAGAGTTCTCTGAAAACATCCACTAAGTGTGCAGCAGAAGTCAAAAAAGCGAACCGAATGTTGGGAATCATTAAGAAAGGGACAGATAAGACCAAAAATATCATATTGTCTCTCTATATAAATCCATGGTACAGCCACATCTTGAATTCTGTGTGCAGATGTGGTCACCCCATCTCAAAAAAGATGCATTGGAATTGGAAAAGGTTCAGAAAAGGGCAACAAAAATGATTCGAGGTATGGAACGGCTTCTGTATGAGGAGAGATTAATAAGACTGGGACTTTTCAGCTTGGAAAAGAGATGACTAAGGGGGGATATGATAGATGTCTATAAAATCATGACTGGCATGGAGAAAGTAAATAAGGAAGTGTTGTTTACTCCTCAACGCAAGAACTAGGGGGCCACCAAATGAAATTAATAGGCAGCAGGTTTAAAACAAAAGGAAGTATTTTTTTCACACTACGCACAGTCAACCTGTGGAACTCCTTGCCAGAGGATATTGTGAAGGCCAAGACTATAACAGGGTTCAAAAAAGAACTAGATAAATTCAGTGGAGGATAGGTCCATCAATGGCTATGAGCCAGGATGGGCAGGGATGGTGTCCCTCGCCTCTGTTTGTCAGAAGCTGGGAATGGGCAATGGGATGGATCACTTGATTACTTGTTCTGCTCATTCCCTCTGGGGCACCTGGCATTGGCCACTGTCGGAAGACAGGATATTGGGCTAGATGGGCCTTTGGTCTGACTCAGTATGGCTGTTCTTATGACTCATCGACACTCTGTTTCCCCCTCAAGGGCATCGCAGGCACAGACGTGGCCAAAGAAGCTTCGGACATCATCCTGACGGATGACAACTTCACCAGCATTGTGAAGGCGGTGATGTGGGGCCGCAACGTGTACGACAGTATCTCCAAGTTCCTGCAGTTCCAGCTGACCGTCAACGTGGTGGCCGTCATCGTCGCTTTCACAGGAGCCTGCATCACACAGGTAAGGAGGCCTGGGGAGCAACCTAGTGCTTAGAGCTGGATGGGACTTGAAGCCAGGAGTCCTTGGCTTAGCTGCTGATTTGCCAAGAGACGCTGGGGGTGGGGTGGGGGTAGATAAAATAATCATGACAAAGCATCCGGTGAGCGGCAGAGGTGGTGGTGGTGGTTTTATGTATTGAGCAAAGAGACCACGTTCTCCTCGGGGGATTCTTCTCCCTCTGCAGGACTCTCCGCTGAAGGCCGTCCAGATGCTGTGGGTGAACTTGATCATGGACACCTTTGCGTCCTTAGCCCTTGCCACAGAGCCCCCCTCGGAGTCCCTCCTGCTGCGCCGGCCGTACGGCCGCAACAAGCCCCTGATCTCCCGCACCATGATGAAGAACATCCTGGGGCACGCAGTGTACCAGCTCACCATCATCTTCACTCTGCTCTTTGCAGGTGAGTCTCTGAGGCCATAGGGAAGGGGGAACTTCCTCACCAGCCACCCCCTCTGCCTCTAAACCAGTGAGAGGTAAATCCAGGTAGTCTATCTAATCCAGCTGGGCATGTGCCCACCTACAGTGACCCCAGTTCAGTGAATCCCATTGTCTGCACCAGAATCTAATCTACTGGGTGCAGAGAGCACGCTGTAGCCAAGAAAGTGGCTCCTTTTTTCAGCTCTCCACTAAGTAAAGGGTTAATGAAATGAACACTTCTATTTTTTTTTTTTTTTATTTTGCTGCTGGAGATGGATTGGCTCCCGGGATCCGTAATAAGCCTATAGGACCTTAAACGCCGAGATCGGTCGTTCAGTTCTTGCCCTGCTCCGCAGCTACTGCAGGTGGCTGCTGCGTGGGCTGTGTGGAAATGACCTTGGTGGGACTCTGTCTAATGCCAAGTGAGTCAGCATCCACAACACAAACCATAGCTACCGCCCGTTCTGAACAGCCGCCTCATGTAGGCCGAGAACGCAGTGGGCGCTCTGCCGTCCCCGACACGAAGCTTCCACCTCAGGGAGCCGAGGGCAGCGAGATGGGGGAGGGAGCTGCTGCTGATCCTCTTGGGATGAAGGAAGGACGTGGCCATCCATGGCTGCCAGTATGGCATTACATTCCCATCTGTTTAAAGACTTCCAGTGCCTCCTGTGGGGCCCAAAGCAGGGACATCCAGGTGTCTGAATGGGCTCTGCCTGGCTTATCCATGATGCATTGCACTTTGCTGGTGCCCTCAGTCAAACTAACTGAGACAGGCATCTGTTTCCCCACATTCCCTTTGTCCACCCCCCATGTTTCCATAATCCAGCTTCTCCTGCAATTAGAAAGCCAAACTGGGGGAAGGTCCTATCTTTTACTGGACCAACTTCTGTTGTGGGGGAGAGACCTGCTTTCGAGCTACACAGAGCTCTTCTTCAGGGCTGGGAAAGTGACTCGGGCTATGTCTACACGACATCATTTACAGCACATTTCCGGTAAAGACTCTCTAAGCCAACGGGGGAGAGCCTTCCAGTCAGCTTAATGACTCCTGCCTCCACAGGAGGCGGTAGCTATGGGAGAAGTTCTCCTGCTGACGGCACTGTCTGCACCGGCGTGCATCACTCAGAGGTGTGTATTAGTCACACTCCGAGTGACATAACTTATACCGAAGTAATCTGTAGTGTACACACAGCCTCAGTGTCCCTGCTAAATTTGAGGTGGAACAGATTGTTTAGCATAAATAGTTAACGCCTTTCAAGGACCATTCAAGGTGAAGTGGCCTGTTTCCACCCCTCCAGTCACAGGGTGGAGAAGGAGGGTGGGGTGAGAAGTAGCTGGGTGGAGCGGGGTGGACTGGAGTGGATTGCAGATTGTTGTAATTGGCCATAAATCCAGTATTTCTATTCTGTCCATGATTTTTAGTGTCTAGCAGAGTAGTGAACTTAAATGTCCAGTCTCTTCTTTTCAAGGTGTTGTGCAGGTTTCCTTTGAGGATGAGGACAGATCAAGTGACCGCTTTGTGAAAAGTGGTCACCCACAGGTGATGCAGTGTGTTTGTCTTATCGTTTTCCTGTGCGAGTTCATTCAAGAGCGTAGTGATGGTCTGGTGTCACCTACAGAGTTGCTATTGGGGCATTTAGTGCACTGGGTGAGGTCCACTGCATGGTGGTGTGATAGGCATGTGTAGGAACCATGGGCCGATAAGAGATTACCTCCCCCGCTTTGTCTCTCTCCAATCCTGGGACCAACACGGCGCCAACACCTCTCCTTCTGCAGTGTCCGTTCAAATTCCAGGTTATGCATGAAGGGGCAGGAAAAAGACCCACCAAGTTTCTCTTTCACCTCCTGTCTGATAGGTGAGAAGTTCTTTGATATTGACAGTGGCCGGAACACGCCACTGCACTCCCCGCCCTCCGAACACTACACCATTGTCTTCAACACCTTCGTCATGATGCAGCTGTTCAACGAGATCAACGCTCGCAAGATTCACGGCGAGAGGAACGTCTTTGATGCCATCTTCCGGAATCCCATCTTCTGCACGGTGGTGCTGGGAACCTTTGCTGCCCAGGTAACAGCCACGGGCGCTGAGAGCAGTGTGGGTGCGTGTGGACTAGAGATAGACAGTGCGTGCTGAAGAGAGGAAGGATGGGCCAGTGGTTAGGGCACTAGCCTGGGTCTCAGGAGAGCAGGGTTTGATTCTCTGCTCTGCCACAGACACCCTCTGTGACCTTGGGCAAGTTCTTTAGCCTCTCTGTGCCTCAGTTCCCCACCTTTAAATGGAGATAATGGTCCTTCCTTACCTTGCAGGGTGTTGCAAAGATAAATGCATTAATGCTGATGAGCTGCTCAGATACTACGGTGATGGGTCTATATACCCCTAGATAGAGCTAGAAATGGCCTTGAAAACTGTGTTTTGCCTGACCAAGAAGTAGTTTGGATTCAGGGTCCATTTTATCCAGACCCCTAGCAGTCAAGGTGGGGCTAGATAAAAGGTTCTGGTTCTGGCCCGACTCCCAGCCAGATGCTGACATGGATGAGCATGCAGAGTTTCCATTCTGTTGCTCTGGGGTTTGGAGTTTTACAGCTCTGAATTGTACATCCTGTACAGGCCACTGCCTGGGCTGTTAATTTTGTCCATTTTTCAGTAAAAACACTTGGCGTGTGCCTAGTTGTTAAGCCTGCCACTCCCTTTTGAGACGAGGAAAATTTGAGAGTGGCTGGGTGTGTGGCGCAGAAGCCTCCTCTCACAGCATCTGGGGAGCTCGGCTGCAAAGAGCATTTATTGGAGAGTGGGTTTCCAGAGCTGTCCAGACGATGCCCTTTGCTCGGTGTTGTGACACTGGGCTATGAAAGAGGATAAAGCACAAGTTGTTGTGGTTTCTTTGACCCTTTTCTGGGTCTGGATGAAATACCTGCTCCAATATACTGGCCCGACCCAGGTGCAAACTGGAACAGGATTGGGAGAACTAGTCAAAATCTTCTTACAGTGGAAATTTCTTTTCTATGAGAAACCGCCTTTTCAGCTTTTTTTAGTTTTGAAATTTTCTGGTTTGTCAGTGAAAAACAGTTCGGAAAACTTTTTTTTTTTTTTTTTTTTTTTAAAATGGGGGTGATGTGGAGTAAAAAAACTGAACATTTTCAAGGGGCAAATACTTAGTTTCCCTCCAAATGCATTTGGTGGGAAATCCTTAGCATTTTCCAGCCCCCCAAGTTGTAGCTTTGCTGTCCTGCACCCAGTGACACCACTGGCCTACACTGAAAGCATCCCGAACCGGCCGCTTGAGGAGGAAGAAACTCCCAAATGCTACGCAGCCTCTCTGACTGCGTGTCCCCTCTAACAGCCCCCCGGCATGTGCTCTTCTTTCCTGCACTGCAGATCCTCATCGTGGAGTTTGGTGGGAAGCCGTTCAGCTGCTCTGGGCTCACCCTGAGCCAGTGGCTCTGGTGCATCTTTATCGGTGTTGGAGAGCTGCTTTGGGGCCAGGTGAGGGCTGGGCTGATGACCCCACCCCCACGGTATATTTCCAAACCCACAGCCCCAATGGAAACATTGGATCACTATCCCTCCATCTACACACACACATTTGTATAATACCTAGTCCTGCCATGAGTGCAAGGGACTGGACTAGATGACCTCTCAAGGTCCCTTCCAGTTCTATGATTCTATACAGGAGTTAGTGTCTCCCTACTTCCTCCTCTTCTCTCCCCCCCCCCCCCCCCCCCCCCCCGCAAGTTTGCTTCCTTCTGCTAAAAACAGAGGGAGAGCTCTCGTCCTCTGGCTGGGGCTGTGAGATGAACACCCTCTTTCCCCACCCCATATATGCCCTGGGGGGTTGCCATAAAGCATTGGAGGGGAGTGCTGCTCTAGGCTGGCAGATGAGGGCTCTCCCTCTTTCTAACTACTGCCTTTTGAGCCACTTGGGGCTGCAGGCGAGCCAGCCTGAGCAATACTGCCGGGGGACTCTTGGGGGATGGGGAGCGCAGATGTGTCATGCCCAGGTCGGTACAGGTGATGGCGAGGGATTAACCCATGGTTTCCTGTGTCTCTGTAGCTGATCTGCAGTGTTCCAACCAGTCAGCTGAAGTTCCTGAAGGAAGCTGGACATGGTACCACCAAGGAGGATATTCCAGAAGAGGACCTGCCGGAGGACATGGATGAGATTGACCATGCTGAAATGGAGCTCCGGCGGGGGCAGATTCTGTGGTTCAGGGGCCTCAACAGGATACAGACTCAGGTACTGTGTGGGGCACTGAAGTGCCGCTTCCTGCTTTCCCAGGGGCCCTGGCCGAAGAGATCGAGTGCCATCCTGTTCCCTGTGCAGCTCCTCGTGGCCACGGTGACACTTCAGCCCCTCCAGGGTCTAGAATTCCCACTGCCAGGGCCTTTCTGATCAGTGAGCCAGGCCTGTGGGCATGCACTGCTGCTTAGCCGTGTGTGCATAGCACGCCCGATTCCCAGTGGGGCCAGGGCTACAATGAGAGTGGGGGGTTGTAGCTACTGTGGGGAGGGATCTGTGCCTTGCACAGCTGGGGGGGGCAGGCTCAGAGCTGCATGGCCCTCTGTTAATGGGGCTTGGGCAGGTGACCTTGCAACCATGGATGGTGCAGCTGGATGGACATCAGTGGGCCTTTTTCTAAGCACTGTCTGCAGGATGGCTGCTCCCCTAGTGGGAAGTAGATGCTGGGCAGCCTTAGTCAAGCCCTGACAAAAGATCCTGCTCTAGGACGGCCTGTCTACCTGCAGTCTGGGATGGAGTTGAATATGCTGCGGGAGATGGGGCATTTAGCACCCAGGTGTTCTCCTTTTTTTCTGCATTGCAGGTGTGTAAGAACCCCGTTCTATAGGGATCAAAGCTCCACCCCTTTCCCTTCCCCACATGTCCTCTTCTCATTCACTTCAGCGGCCTTTGGATCAAGCTGTTTCAAACCCCAGACTCAAGATGAGGACAGCAGCCCGAGCTCAGCAGAGCCAGGCTGGCTTAGTTTGGTGGAGTGGTGGAGCTGCTTGTTGGGACTTGCCACTCTTGAGTGCCCACTCTGTTCCTAGCAGGGAAGTTGGGGCTTTTCCGCATCAGCTGTTTTGCACAAGCATTATTGGCTTTCACCACTCTGGAGCCAACACGCTCTCTTGCTCTGGCCACCTTCGCAGTGTGGTGGTGACCCGTACCACAGTGACTTTTCACACTCCCTCCCCATTGGTTTTATTTATCTCTCCTCTTCCCTGCTACTCCCCCAGTCTCCTGATAAGTCCCCTCTCATGGGCCTCTCCATCTACTGTCCCCCATGCTGTAGCTAGAAGGGGAGAATTGTACGAGGGAAAGAAGCCTAGTTTTGGTTTCTCTAATAGTTTTCTTTTCCGTTGCAGTTTTAAAAATCTCACTGACCGTTTTTAATTGTTTTTGCCAAAGAGCATATTTGTCCTTGGGACCCTCCTCTGCTCTTTCCCCCTGAAAGGAAGCGTCTCATCCTGGAGAATACAGCTTGCACACGAGCTGCTCACGTTTCTCTACCAGCCATTCCCTTCTCGATGTTTCTCTTGTTAAGCACCCGCTCCCTGCCCCCAGGGCCCCCTCTGCTCCATGCTGGTAGAGGCTTTCTCTGTCCTGCTCACCTCCTGCCCCACATTGGGACGGTACAAGGCTGGGGATGAAGAGGTGGGAGGCAAAGACCAAAGTGAGGAATGCAATGCCCAGTGACCTGCAAGCTCCTGAGGCGTGCTCCCAGACTGCTAGCAGCGGGCTCTCCTCCTTGCTTTCCTGGGTCAAATGCCGTGCTAGGAAGCTCATGTATTCAGCGTGGATGTGAGGAACAAAGAATTCACGCTCTTCTGCAAGTGGCACATTCATTCCCCCTCCTCATCTGCTCTGGGTATTTCCCTTGTGTTGGCCTGTCCGTTCTTCCCCTGCCCTCTGGTGTCCTGGCTGCAGATTGGGCAGTTGCCTAATAGCATGAGCTGTCCGGCTGGGAATAGAAGGGGCTTTTCAGCCCCTTGGAGCGGGGCCTAGTATCTGTCGACCTGGAGCGTCGCCATTGCCCTGCCTCCAGCTAAACAAGTCTGAGGGGGGAATTGATAGCCAGAAAGCATCTTCCTCAAAGGCCTCTGGAAAACTTACCTGCCTGGAGGAGTCTGTCTGCTCCCTACCACTACAGCCTCATAAGCACAGCAAGGGCCAGTCCTTTCATTTCCCTTTGCTCTTTACCCAGCTCCCAGGAACCAGAGCCCAGTGATGAGACACGAGGGGGAAGGGAGTGGGATAACTGCTGAGCTGCCTTTGGTTATTGTCACGCATTTATTTTTCCTTCCCAACTCTCCTGCCTTTGACAAAACCACGCACTACCAGAGCGGGTTCTGAGGGGCTGGGGATGCTTCCCTCTGGCATCCGAGTCCGGTGGGAATTTCAGAGTGAAATTCCTCCGAGGAGAAGCGGGAGGAGGTGTCATTCGGGTGGGAGCTCAGGACAATATCTGCGAGTAAGTCCATGTGTGGCACATGGAAGCTATTATAAACCCAAGAAGAAATATCTCCTGAGACCCATATCGGCCAGGCTATATCCTCTTGGCTTTGTACAGTGGTTTCTTCTTCCCTGCCCAAGCAAGCAAACACCCACCCCACCCCATGTTCACCTTTTTTTCCACCACAAAGGCTACTAGAGGTTTCTGAATGTGAAGATACCAATCTGACCACCTCCACTTCTCCTGCCTAGGGACCCTGCCAGAGTTACCACCTGATTGTTAAACATACAAGGGATAAGAAGGGAGCACTGTTTGTTTTGTGTGTTTCAGAATCATGTGATACACTTGGAATGAGAATTTTAGGGTGGCTGCATTTCAAAGAAACAAGGGGGGCTGGGGCCACTCCATGGAACAGAGGTGCCGAGATGAGGCCTCAGTATTCTCATGGACGTTGGATTCACAAAGCTTGGGCACTGTTAAAGTGTAGGTACCTGCTTCCAGAACAGTGGCCAACCAGCAAAAGGTTCCTTAAGCCCACTGGACTGGGAGATGTGCCCATGTGGGATTCGCATGCATGTCCTGTTTCATATGTGGAAATTGTGGTGCTCACAGCCTAAGTGTGACACTTTTTTTATTTTTGCAGCACACAGGAAATGCGTGTGATCCACACCAAAGCCACGTGTATGTGGTTTAAAAATATATATATATTGGAGCATGGCCCACATTGAGGTCACTGTGAGTTGTGTGTTGAAAAACACAAGCCGGGGGGTACATATGACTGAAGCCAACATGTGACTTTTGTCATCTGAGCTCCTATTCTTTTAAGCTTTAGTGCTGGCTTGTATCTGCCAGACTGGGTTATTTTTGCAGTGGGATATGGGGAAAACCAATTGCCTTGGGGTCAGATGTTGCTGGTCATTGGGACACCGGCTGCGTTTGCTAATTTCTCAAGCTAGCCTGCCGCGTGATAACGCCTTTGGGAATACCATCCCGTTACAAGAACGATCCAGACTTGCCGGAGTACGGTAGGTAGAAATTTCTGTAATGTAGTGCTGCAGAGGTGCTGCAGGTCCTAGGCGTTGCCTCCAAACCAGTTGGAAGAATTGAGGTAGCGATACCAGTGGCCACCATGCAGTGCCCACGTGTCCGTACTGGAGCCCGTTTACTGACGAAGCTTTGCGTTCTTGCCTCATGAAAAATGCTACTTGCTTTTGCAACGCTATGCAAAGCCCTGGGCTCTTTCCAGCGTATGTCTGTCCTGCAAATCCCAGCACACCCGCCTGGAGATCAAAACCCTGGAGTTCTAGGCTTCCAGGGGAGTGTCCTAAACAAATGTGCCTTAAAGGAAAACTGCAGTGATTCTTTCATGATAGCCCTGGCTGGTCGCAGGAAAAACGTGCCTGCATCGCAGTATGAGAATGAAACCAGGAAATGGCAAAGCAGTGCATGGAATACCCACTAGGATGGACTGGGCAGCTGCATGCCCTTCCTTGGGGTTACCGTTTTTAATAAGGATCACGTGACCAGGGCAGTGGCCAGAAACACAAGGAAGCTGCAGGGACACGTAGCCGCCTGGTTCTACCTGTATGGACCAAGAGAGAGCTAGGAGAGTCAAAATTCAGCGCCATGTAAATCCCCAGGTGTAACTGGCTACTGCTCTGAGCTTCCTTCCTTGGAATGTGTCCGCAGGCTGATGCTGCGGCTGCTTCCTTATTTCATAGCTGTTGTGGTTTGGTTTTGTTTTTCCTTTATATTTAGGGCATTTGCATAAATCACTGGGTGGTTCAGGGCCTGATCCTGAGAGGGGCTGAGCATCTGTGAGCCCTTTCGGCTTTAGTGGGAGTTGTGGACGCTTGGCGTGTTTCCGGAGTCAGCCTCTTACTCAGTCCAATGAAAGACCTGACTGATTGGAAATGCTTTTCTATCCCATTGCCGTTTTCTAGAATACAGGCTGCACACTGTATCAGTTGCCAGCTCACACCTGCACCCATCCCCTCCCGCTCTCTGTCTCTCTTTCCGCACCTCCTGCAGGTTGCCTTTATATACTAGATCCTTTCCCCTCACTGCCCCGACTCCTTTGGGCCTGTAAAGATTGCACCTGATGCAAACTACAGAGAGAGGGAGGGAAAGGCTGAAAGCTAACGTCTAATCTTTGCTCCATGTCTCTGCTTTTGGATCACCTGCCAAAACTGTATTTATGGGAATGTAATCTGAAATGGGTTTTTCCGCTCTTCTCCCTACCCACCTCCATCCTCTCTTCCTTATTGTCTTGTTTGTGTCTGTCCCTGTCTGTCCAGCCTCCCCTCCTCCCTCCCCCCTTCCTCTTGGTCTCTGACTGTGGGGCGAAGCTATCTCACTCTCTGATTCTTTACAGATGGACGTAGTTTACACATTCCAGACCGGCGCCTCCTCTTTACAGGGAGCCCTCAGGAGACAGCCTTCCATCGTGAGCCAGCACCACGATGTAAAACATGTTTCTAGCCCAACCCATGTAGCTCTTTCCTCCGTCAATTCCACTCCCACCACCTCTGCTGCTGCTGCTGCTGCTGCATCTCCTACTGCGGGCAGTGAGTGATAGTCTCTATTACAATGCATGACTTCCTAATAACCACGAGAAAGCACTTGCATCGACCTAACCAAACCTGTTCTCTCTTCCTCCTCTTTTATCCTTGACTTGGCCCAATGATTCCCTGTCTCGATGCAGGGGCAGGGTGGAGAGGCCATTTGTTTCTTTTAAAGCTGTTGCATCTTTAACCATGTTTTAAAACCCTTTCCAGTTTGT